ACCCACACGCGGGACACTCGGGACCTTCTCGAAGCTGTTTAATTAGATTTTCGCTGCGAGATGTGAGCCGCGTGATTGAGTCACAGCTGAACGGGGAGTTGGGAGTTGGGAGCTCGAAGCTGAGACTGGGGCTGAGGTTGGGGGACAACGACTGGGACTGGGACTGGGACTCCGACTGAGACTGTGACTGCGTGCTGGGTCAGGGTCTGCATCTTCGGTTCGAATTGAAGTTTTTAATTAAAAGGCAACTACTAGATTGGGCAATCAAATGCATTTGGAGCACCTGCTCCAGGCATCCCCCATCCAGCTGGTTGGCTGACTGCCTCTCTGGCCGCAACTTATTAAAAACTGTCAGCATTATGTTAATTAGCCCCAAAAGAACTGGGGAGTGAAAGCAAAAATTGCGCGGCAAATCAATCAAGATTCAGAGCCATAGCCTGTAAAAATGACAGCAAATTAACAAATAAATGGCCGGCCAGAGGGCACCCAGAGGGAGAGCGACACTGATTAGCGTAATCGGACCCTAGGTCTCACGTCGCCTCGCCTCGGTTCGCCTCGCCACGCATCGCGTTTGCCTAATTTTAATGCAAATTCCAAGCTGACGACCAGTATGCAGCCGAAATTTGATCAAAATTCAGACACCCACCACCCCCCACAGGCAGGTGACGACGATAAAAGGACCTGCCCGCGTCCTGGGTTGTTGCTGCCTGCGTATGTGTGTGTTTGTGGCAGGAGGACTGACCAATTTGAATTTAAATGGAATCTGCCTGGCGGTGCTTTGCATACAGCAAGTTTTGCCAATGATTTCAAGTCCGACTTGGCACTGGGATAAATTAATATATTTAGGCAAATACTCCTGAAAGGGGGAACATGGCTAACCCAGAGTACACATGTGTATGTACATTTGATTTAATGAATTATGGATGTTCGAACAAGATGTTCAATCAATTTTAATTGTGCAATTCAGCCCATTGAAACTTCTATAATGTTGGGCAACAATTGTTAGAAATTTCCAATAACTTGCTAGGATTTGAATTAGCAATCAGACTCCCTTCCTTTTAGCTTTCATCTTTGGTCGAGATGCAGAATGGAGTAACAGCGAGCGTAACCGGCTTAGCCTGCAAGCTTAAGCCATGTGAATCGTGAGATTGAGCGCTAACAGTGAGCTGTTAACAGAGAGCTGCTGCTGCAGACTGTTAGCGGAGAGCAGTAGCAGACTGTTAAGGCACAGCTTACGCGACTGTTAACGAAATGCGGTTACAGTCTGTTACTCTGAGCTGTTAACAGCGCTGCCAATGCACTGCCAAGCACCAACATTCCGGGGAATTATTCCGCTTAAGATGAAGTTTCGTTTTCACCAGTGTGGAAACATTTATCGAATAATCGAATAAGCAACAACTTGTCAGTGCCTCCCACTAACCCACGCCGCTGTGCAGCTGGCAATTAGCTCCAGAACTTTCGCCTTTCTCCGGCTCGCTTAAATGACTGCGCCTGGGGCTGCATATTTAAAAACAAATTAGAAGCTGGCCACTAATAAGTGCCGTAACAGCGCCACCACCAGCCTCGGGCCTCGGCCAGGTCTTGGGCAGGCGCGCATGAAAAGGAACAAGTTCAAGTGTCGAGTGGAAAATGAAGTTCTTCCGTTTCTCCAGCGTCAGGCGAGGCGGCAACTCAAGCCACTGCTGATGTTAGAGCTGAAGCTGGAGCTGCAGCTGAAGCCACTTTAAGCCATGGCCATGGCGCCGACACACTGCTGATGGCTAAACGGAAATGAAACATGAACGGAAGTGGCCGGCCACACCCAAGATAAAAAGGGAGAGAGACAGAAAACAGACGCCAACGCAGACTTTCGATGGTTTTGAGCTCGAGTTGAAAGGTAAAAGTACTCCAAGACATAACAGAGCCTGAGATTAATTTGTTGCCAGAAACTATCCTTAAGTTCCAATCAAAAATGTTTAGTGCGGGACTATTTCAAACCCCAAATCGATTGCCCGCAGCATCGAACGATTTGTTTGATATTTTGGTGACGTTAATTAGCTTCGGGCACTCTGCTTACATATTTCGGTTGTCAGCTTAGTGCTCAACCTGCCTGACGGATTTAAGTGGATAACCAGGGGAAAAAATATGCAGGAGGTGCAATCCAGAGGGCGATAGAGAGGAAAGGAAGGCTGACAGAGAGTCAGGACCCTCTCAAGCCGGAGAGAAGACACGAGACACGAGAACAAGGAACCGCGACATTATTAGCTCTATTTGTGGCAGACTGCTGCCAGAGCAGGTGCGCTGGGGTGCAAGAAAGCTGCCACCGAAACAGACACAGACAAGTAAACGAGCTGCCCCAGTTGCCTCGCACCAGAATTCCTTCCAACAATATTGCAACAGCAGCAACATTGACAACATCGTGTTTATATGCAACATTGACAACTTGGCGTGACGCGAGTGACGCGTAACGAACGCTGGATGTTGGATATGCTGGAGCTGCAGCTGGAGCTGGTGCTAGAGCTCCTGCTGCCACCATAAGCATAAGCATAAGCATAAGCATCACCATTACCGTTACTGCCACTCTTGCTGAGTCTGCTTGCCTCCTGCTTGCAGGCAAGTCATAAAAGTTGTCTGACTTTGGTGCTTGCCTAAAAGGCGACGGGCCCCAGCCCGAGCGGATGGAGGAATGCGCTATGTGTGCTCGCACAAAATACTCCAAAAATGAAATGCAAAACGGCAAAATGCACTGCAAGAATGCACGCACCAAGTACGTACCTGAATATATCTGAAGATTATATTCCGTTTGTCTTTAACAGCTAAGCCCCAATCAGTGCTGCACTTGAGTTGAAGTTGCATTTCAATTGTTTCTGGCAATACAGGAGGATACAGGAGCTAAAGATACGTAAATAGCTGGAGGAGCTAGAAAAGTTGCAGTCAAATTGTGAGTTCAATGTATAATTTGCCTTCTTTTGCGTTGAGTTCAAATAAATGAGTGGGAAAAGAGGATCAATTTATGAGAGTTACGCGAACATTTTTGTTCTTTAAACTGCGCTGTCTTGAGTCTCAAGACTCTCCTTCAACTCTATTCGGGTGCATTTCGGAGTGTTCATTTCTCTGAGTGCATTTCTGGCATCCAACTGTCTCTTCTACTCTCTCTCGCTCTGCTCTCTGTCTTTCTTTTGGTGCATCTTCTATGGCTGAACTTTGGCAATGTATGGGTCTTGGGGGCTGCGACTATATTACATTTTATGTCAAACGCGTACGCTTTCAATATTGACAGAAAGCGTCGTTGCTGTAGACGCTCGCGGATGCCGGTGCGGATGCCATTGCGGATGCCGGTGCGGATGTGGACGCGCCACCTGTTCCGGCTGCCGCTCCATACACCCACCACCCACCACCCACCAGCCACCGTCATCATGGTCTTGTCATGCTAATGTTAACTTATTTTCGCATTTTTCGGCACACACAATACACCCCGCAGCACACGGCTCAGAGCCCAGACACAAGCCCAATCCCCCTGCACCCATCGGAAGCTATTTTCAAATAAAGAAAACGCAATTTTTGGTCGGTGAGCAGCCGCCATCTCAGACACACACCCGCTGCAGGCTATATTCACCGAATATGCCATCTATGCCATCATCGGGAGTGATGATGATGATGATGGGCAGCCCTAGAAGGGCTCGCCCAGCGGCTTAATGGTCAGCTGATGCACCTGAACGTGCGGCGGCGTGGCCAGGGCATACATAATGCCAGCGGCAATGTCCTCGGGCCTCAGCATGGGCAAGTCACCATAGCCCCGGGGCAGAATCTCCGTGTCCGTGACCCCAGGCGTGATGCTCTGCAGGGCGAGGAATGAATCGAGCTTAGACTTAAGGGAAATGAAATCAGAACCCACCGTAACCTTGATCTTGGTCTTGAAGCCACGAAACTCCTGGCGCAGCACCTCCAGCATGGCCTTGATGCCGTGCTTGGTCAGGGGATACATGTTGAGAACCTGCAGCTCATCGCCCGGCGGATTGATGATCGTCTCGCCGGTGAGGCTGTTGATCAGCACCACATGGCCGGGCACGTCGCGCTGCTGCATGGAGCGAAAGGCGCGACGGGTGCAGTTCAGGACGCCCATGATGTTCACCTGCCAGGTCTGCTCGAGCTTCTGCAGATCCTGGGTGAGCAGCTGGCCGGGGAACAGACAGCCGGCATTGTTCACCATAATGTCGATGCCGCCCAGGTGCTCCTCCACCCAGTCAAAGGCCGCCGTAATCGAGTCCAGGTCCGACACGTCGCAGTGCATCAGATGAAAGCGGCCATGCAGCTCCTCCGGCAGCTCGGCCCTGAGCGCCTCCATGCGGTCCATGCGCCGGGCCAGACCCACCACCACCACGCCCGACTCGACCAGCTGCTTGGCCACAGCAGCTCCGATGCCCGAGCTGGCACCCGTCACCACGGCCACTCTGTCCTGCCAGCGATCCATAGTTCAATGATTAATTAGATTCCTTTGGGTGCTTTGTTAGGTGCTAGATTCCCTTCTTGCTCCTCGTCCAGTGGAGCACTCTTCGCAACTAAGTCTGGATGGCCGCCGGCTAGCGTCTTATATACGATTACGCACCGATTAGCGGACGCGGAACTAGCTCCAAGACATTTCCCAGCTGGCCACACCCGTCGTTGCCTATGCAAATCAATTATTAACTGAGGCTCGGCCCAAGCGCGCACGGTTCACACGTGAGCTGAATAATTGAGGCGCCCCCGAGGGCTGGGGCGGAGTAGGTGGCAAGTGGCGGCGTTGGGTGGCACGTTCATTGTGGCAATTAAAACGTTAAACGGCAACCGTAAATATCACATCAAAGCAAAGTCATGCGCTCGGCACTGCCCCAGTGATCGTTGATCAAAATTATGGCAACGATTCCTCAGCCCACATTCGAATATTATTGATCCATAAATGGGCTATGATTGGATATTTTCATGTAAATAGAATCATTATTTGTGTGGTACCGCAAGCCATATAAGTTATAAGCAATATTCTGTGTGGATGGTAACAGCTTAGATTAATTATTTCTTATTACAATCATTTTTTGAAGTCATTATTTTCTGTTGATGGAAGAGATTTTTGGGTGCATAATCAGTATTGCAAATCCCAAGTCTGAGAAAGTATTTAAGTAAATATGAAAATGTAATCACAATTGGCTCTCTGTTGATTTTGAATAATTCCTACAAATAATGATCACCGAAGAGTATTGAGTATCGTATTTGAATAATTAATATTGCTTTGCAGCTTCTCTAAGTGGCTGCCAAAAAAATATTAGTTTATAGTTAACAGTCGATAGTTTAGCTTGATCTTGATCAACGAGTTTGTTTTTAAATTATGCTTGGGGTATAATCAATACCTTATTCCCATATACCCGAATAGACTCCCTGGGCAGAGCCGTTAAATTATGCAAAACGAGCAGCGGAGGAATGGATACATGTGTCTACCCATAACCATATAAATTTATATCTATGTATGTGTGGGTATGTGCATGTTCTAATGTATGCAAAGTGCAAAGTTCAACGATATGCGATGTGCGGTTGTCAGTTAAAATGGCTCGCCCAGGGGCTTGATGGTCAGCTCATGCACCTGCACATGAGGCGGGGTCGCCAGGGCGTACATGATGGCATTGGCCACATCCTCGGCCTGCAGCATGGGCAGGCATTTGTAGGCCTCGGGCACCATCTCCGTGTCCACCAGGCCAGGGCTGATGCTCTGAAAAAAAGTAACACAAAATGTGGGATATATTTTCTGAATAATTCCCATTGACCTACGGTAACTTTCACTTGGGTCTTGAACTCCCGCATCTCCTGGCGAAAGAGCTCTGTGAGGGCTGTCACCGCGTGCTTGGTGGCAGGATAGATGTTGAGCTCCTGCTGGCTGCCCGGCAGCGAGTTGAACAGATAGTGCCCCACGACGCTGTTGAGCAGTACCACGTGGCCGGGCGACTGGCGCTGGCGCATCGAATGGAAGGCGTGCTGTGTGCAGTAGACCACGCCCATGATGTTCGTCTGCAGCACCTGCTGGACTGTGTCCAGGGACATGGTCAGCAGCTGGCCGCCCGACAGCTTGCCGGCATTATTGATCAATATGTCAGCGCCGCCCAGCCGCTCCTCGATCCAGTCGAAGGCGGCACTCACCGAGTCCACGTCCGTGACATCGCACTGTCGGATGTGCAGCTGTGGGCCCAGCTCTTGGGACAGCTGCTGCAGGCGCTCGAGGCGTCGGGCCAGGGCCACCACCACCACACCAGCGGCGATCAGTTTCCTGGCCAACTCCGCGCCAATACCCGAACTGGCGCCGGTCACCACGGCCACTCGATTATGCCAACGTTCCATGCCGATGCTGGGAAACCAACTGACGCAACAAACAGTCTCCGCTCACTGGAAAAGCTTCACAGCTTTGCAGCTTCGCAGCTTACATCTCTGTCCGCTCCATGGGCATCCCCTTTTATGCGCCTCTGCCTGGGCATTGATTTACTTTTGAGTTTCGGGTTACGTGCAGTACGGTGATGCAACGGCTAACCGCAGACTGTTACGATCCGCTCGTAGATCAATTTACAGCGTTGTTAAACCAATGACGCCTGGGTGGTTCCCCTTGAGGGGCGTGCACCTTGAACTCTCAGGAGACTCAGGGCTTGGGCGTGTGTGGCTTGTGTGGCTTGTGGGGATCGCTGATCGCTGTAAAACGGTGAGATTTATGAACAGCAAAGCTTAAACTAAGCTGTAAATCGTTTCATTTTAAAAGGGAAACCAGCAACGAACGACTCAAGCCCATCCTGCTGTGCAACATTGTGCGAGTAATGGCCCCACTCGAAAAAGAGCGATGACTGTGTCAAGGCTTAAGGGCACATTTCGAGGGAATGAGCAGGAGCACCTTTTGCTGGCGCTATTTGCCGGCACCCTACCCGGCCATGCCCCATCGAATGGCCAAATCGAAGTTGTATGAAGTGAAGCAGTAATGAAATATTGACGGGGGCCGTGGATTCGCCAGTTTGTCGCAGCTGCAAGCCAAGCCAAGGCAAGGAAAAACGGCAACAAAAATATAAAACAAGAAGAACAACAAACTCGACAGCTGCACAAAAGTTTTCCGTTTGAAATATAAACAAAAATCAATTTGAGGCGCATTTTCCAGCGCCAAAACTCAAACAGACGACGACTGCTGGAAGATTGGCGGTAGCGGTGGCGGTGGCGGTGGCGGTGGCACTGGCAACGTTGGGTGGCACGAATTCGGTCTGGGCTGGCACCTACGCAGGCAACTTTCGGCAATGGTTAATAAATGCCAACACTCGATTCTGGGTACACCCGCGGAACGCCTAGAGAACGAATTGTATGTATTATTATTGATGTAAATAATTGAATTTATTATCTAAATAATTTATTATACACGAGATTGATTGGGTAAGCATTTCGCACAATACAAACAACTTCTTGGCTTTATTTTAAGAGTGTTCTTTAGCAGGTATCCGCTCGTCGGAATGTCTTGCGATTGAGGTTGATGCTGTTGGCGTGGTTCTGGGTTCCTCTGATTCCAGAGTCCTAGCCCTGGGCACACGTGTTATTTGCTCACGTGTTTATGGAAATTGAGCAACGTATTTCAAGTTGAGCGTCAGCTCAAAGCGCCGTTTGTTTGCCAAGCAGACGACTGAAGAAAAATGTGCATGGAAATTTCACTGATTACGTATTTGCAAAGGGCAAAGACCCACCCATCGAACGGGCTGGGGCTGGGGCTGGAACTGGAGCTGTGGGTGGACTTGGAGCAGGAGCCAGAGCAAGAGCCAGAGCCACCAAGGAGCTATCAAGCAGTGTAACAGTAAGAAGGAGTGTGGTGCGAGTGCCGCAAACTTTTCGGCAAACAAGTATCTATTAGTCGCATTAGACTCGGCAGGATGCTCTTCCACCTCATACGCCCTGCCACTCCACTCCACTCCACACAAATCCCCTCTCCACTGCTAACCAAATACACACTTATGCACGAGTATTAGTGGTCGTTTTCGTTTGTTGGTATAACAGTTTAGTCTGGCACTCGCACAGATCCGACAACCTCCAGTTCTCCAGTTCTCCAGTTCTGCCGCTCTCCAGCACCAGTGGTCAGGGTTCAATGCCGAGCACTCGGCCACTCCATATGCACATGCAAATTGGAAAAGGGCTTCCCACATGCCTTCCCTCATTTATAGAGCTGGGTACATTGACTGGCCGAGGGAGGATGCCTAATTCATCGAAATTCATTCGAAATAACAGACAGCAGCGCTGGCAACATGCGTAGCAGCACTGGTAACAGAAATAACAGCACTGGTAACAGTTGTAACAGCGCTGTTAATAGCCACACTTTAACAGTATTACAGCGCTTCAGGCACTGCTTGCTTACCGATCGGTGTAATTGCTCGCTGTTATCGCTCGCTGTTACGACTTACGTGGCTTAGCATGTAAGCTATGCACATAACTGTATGTATGCACCCTTTACTACAATGATTAATAAATAGATCATAGATCATCTATTCATCGTATATTGTTTCTAGTATTGAGTAGTTAGAGAATTCTTGGATTCGTACTGATAAGCATTATTTTAGCTGCTTTCTTGGGTTCCTCCTTCCAATAACTACCGATGCTGTTCATTTTTTTCTTCTCCTTTGATTACCCATCGCATACAGTTAGCCGCTTCAACAGTGGCAACCGGAACAGCTGCTGCTCTCCAGGTCAGGCACCAGCTCGGCTCCTGCTCCTGCTGCTCCCGCTCTGTTGTATCTTCATCCCGCCGCTGGCCATAATTCAAATTTGCAGTTTTCTATGCTAATTCGTTTGAAATCGCTGGGAAGATGGCGCGCATACAACCACGACTACAGCTACCACTACGACTACGACTATCACTACGACCCTTTGCTCTAGACTGTTGGCTCCTCTGGCACTCCGCAAAAGTGTGATAGAAATTTATGCAGCCCTGGCATACATATGTGGCCGAGGACATGTGCCACGAACAGAAGGGCCAGGGCAGCATGCAAAATACAATACAAAATTCGAAATGCGAAATGCGAAAGGCGAAATATTTTACAAAATACAAAACGGCAAACGGCAGGCAGGCGGCAGGCAGGCGACAAGTGAAATGTGCAGGAACACGTGACATTTGCAATTTGCATTCGCCATGACCCTCGAAGGCGTTTTGCCAGCAGTTTTCATTATGCCAATTTGTCTTGGCTTCTCGTCTTGCATAATTATGTACGCAGCTGTGGCACACACACATACAGCAACACCTTACCCCAGCCCAGAGGGTGGAGCATCCTTAAACCCAGCCTCAGAAACATCTTTAGACCCAGCAGCAGCATCCACCCTACCATCCTGAGGGTGCCATTCGGATGGTTTATGTGTTAAGCCCGGTCTGGTTTTATGACCCTCCAGCCAGGTGTACGTGCTCCTCCGTCCTCCGTCCTCCGTCCTCTACCCTTCCCACCCCACCCCACCAAAGGTGTTGGCGGTGCGGACTGTGCGGAGTGTGTCGAATAAGGATCGGATTCTGCACGGAACTGTTTTGGAATTTTTCGTGTGTTATGTTCTACTATAAACTGAGCGAAATAACCGCCCCACAAATCGCTTCCTGAGTGGCTCCACAATGTTGCGGGACTCCTGGGGGAGGGCAACAAAAACGTAATGCCGCCATCACCGGTTCGAGGATGTCCCGTGATTGATTTGATTTTAATGCGAATTTTGCGAAATTTACTTGGCTCGGCATTTTGGCTGGCAGTAATTAGTGCTCGGCGTTTGCCAACTGGGGAACAGGATATCCGTTCTTTGTGCAGTTTCAGTTTCGGTTTCGGTTTATGATAGCTGCTTCCGCTACTCCGAGTTTGGCAAGCGTCCAGGCCCCCGGATATCCACCGGAATGCGTCTACCAATGCGGTAAATGGAGAGAACACCGACTGACTCACAGAAACTGAAGTTCAAAGCTGAAAAATGTTCCACCATATCTGTGGTCAGTAGAGCAGCTACGACGACATGTAGCAGTAAAACAATCGAAAAGTCTTGGCCGTGGCATCTGGAATGGAACGTTTCTGTTCGCCCCTCGAGGGTCCAGTAGTGGAAGGAGAATATTTGGACAAGTGAATCTCATTTGGCGCTTCAATCGGCAGCTGCCAGTCAATCTTTTCAATATTATTCAATAACAGGCCGCAGGCTGTTGTCTCCTCATGGCCAGATGTCGGAATCTCATATTCGTAAACAAGCTCAACCCAATGGAGCAGAAGGAGAAGGCAGTCAGGCAGGCAGGCAGACAGGCAGACAGGCAGCTTGCTTGTGTCATTCGTTCGACTGACTCATTTATTGATTCATATGTGGGCCAGGAGACACGTGTTCGCCGACAGATTGATAGAGTCCGCTGGGTCCGTGAAACAATGGGACCAAAGACGTGCAGGACAAGTGCTTGCCTCAAGGCAAGGCACGGGGTGGCGCGTTATTCCAGAGCTATGCATCACGCACGGCAGTGGGGGGGAGTGGAAGGGCAGTGGGCAGTGGGCAGTGGGCAGTACAATTTACTTGCCACGGCAAACAATTCGCTGACAGCGTATTTCCAACACGTTCAGCGGGAGCTCCGGAGTAAACTCATTAGGCGCGGGACAGGTGCTGAAAAGCGAAGATTGCCGTACTCCTCCGTACTTCCATCCGATTTGAATTCCCCGAGAGTCGTACATTTTATTTGAATGCCAAAGCCAAAGCCAAAACCAAAGCTAAAGCTAAAGCCAATGCATTGCCCCGGGGGCTACTCAAAAAATAGTCACGTCAGCTCCTCCACCGAGACCACGACCAGTACCAGTAGCAGTGCAAAGGCCTTAGGAGCCATCTCGGAGCCGAAGCGCAAAAGTTCAGCATAATATTTTATGAGGACTTCATGGCCAAATCTCCGCTGCACATGTGTGCACTGATTGCAGCAGTCCTGGCTGCTGGCTAGCCCATGATAAATGGCCCCAACATGCAGCCAAAAACTGCAGTCAGTCCTCTCTGGGGGTAGCTGGTGGCATTTTTTGGGCCAGAAGCCCTGGGATTTAGTATATCAAATTATGAAGAAATAATAATAAAATCCTCGCAAAAAGACATCCAACAACTGTTGATGATAAATGAAGCCAAGGGCAAGCACCGCATTGGGTCACAGAGTGAACAAAAAACGAAACGCTGAAGCAATGAATGATTTGATCGCAGAGATGAATGTCAGCCGCAGTTCTTTTAAATTTGGCAAACAACTTCAACAAAGATACCTTGCGCTTGGGCATAAGGAATGCTCTACAAAATCAAATAAAATCTAGAGATAATCGAACGTGTCCAATGCTTCAGTTGAAAATAGAAGAGCGGAGAGAGTTCCATTACCGAGGGTTAAAAATGCCTTTTTTCCATAAGTAGAAGCAGATTCGCTTAATGTTTTCGTAGATGTAAGTATGTCCGATCAGACCATGCCCACTCCCATTCCAAAAAAGTCAAGAGACGCCTGAGTGCATTGCTTAATATTTTTGGTTGATTTCATATTTATTTTTCTCATTTGACTAGGTAAAGGTTCCACCATAATGCGTTTGCTGTTCGTTTCATAATAATTCATTATATTGTATTTAGTTGATCGGTTAATACCTTTAGCGATCGTCGTATATTTTTGTTTTGTTTTGGTTTTTTTTTTGTATAATAGGGACAGACCCCGACCACGTACCTGGAGCAGGTCACAGCATATGCCGCAGTCCTCCTTCAAAGCGCATCGCAGGACTAGGACACATGGTGTCACGTTTCTCTTGGCAGGGCTTGGGTGTGGTTGGGGCCTGCCAATTTATGTATGTATATTTAATATATATAACATGTGAGAGTGTTTTATTGGGTAACTCGCATTATCCGATCCGATCCGATCCGATCCGGCTTGGTTGTGTTTCTGTTTTTCTGTTTTCATTTTATTGTACATACGATATAGTATATGTAGAGTTTAAACGTATTTAAATAATGTAACATACAGTAAATGAATGACGGGAGGGGGATTCTTAGGGAGCTCCTTAGGGATACAATATACATACATAATTCTCTATCATCAATAGAGAGACTCTCGAGATGCGTGGTACGAAATATAGTACTATAAATGGAATGGAATGCCTTCGTATGGATGGGTTGGGTTGTGTTTAAAGGATAGTCGATAAGCTGAGGGAAGGGCGTGGGATGGGTGGGTACAATATATTCATTTAACACTCAATTAACAAATCTATTTTTTGTATGCAATATTGCTAGTAAACTCAATATGTACCAATCGATCGCTAAATGCTTATCGATCGATCAATATTTGTGTGTGTGTGTGTGTGTGTGTGTGTGTCCGTATGCACTTTGAATTTTGTCCACACACTTATTTTGTCTCGGTTCTATCCGTTACTATATTTAATTTATGTAGTTAGTGTGTGGTGTCTGTGTTTTTGTAGACCAACAAAGATGATTTTCCTATATCTGGTTTTAGTTTTGGTTTTCTTTAGTTTAGTTTTTACGCTTTTACTTTTTACTTTGAATATAATTTAATTTGATTCACAACAATAACATTTTTTTCTTGAATATGCATTGAATCTTTTCTTCTTTCCCTTCTTCTTTCTGTCTTTCTTCGTCTCTAAATGTATCCATTAAATCAATATGGTAAAGCTTAGTATATTATTTTTGGTTTCGTTTTGTTGTAATAGGATAGGAATGAATAACTATGTGGGCTATGGGGGGGTGGTGAGGGGCTATGTCGTATCAGAAGGAGGGGCTTGTAGTTGTATCTATCAGCTGCTGCTATTCGGTCTCCAGTGTCTTGCTATGTGAACTGATGATCTATCTGATGATATGCTGGCAGCATGGGTAGGTATCCATATCCATATCCTTTTCCATAGTTTCCATTTCCATTTCTTATGCATGTGGGTAGTATGTGGGAGAATGTGTGCGTGTTGCCTTCTTCCACTTTCACTTCCACTTGAGCTCCGATCGTCACTCGATGCCTTCGCTGAACATTGTTTTTGTGGCGTAATTGCTTTTCATTTCATATTACTTGTCGCTTAATGCTTCGATTCGATCAGTTACAAACTAAGAAGGTCCATCGATTATATATGTATATAATATGTGTGTGTGTGTATGTATTGGTGTGTGTGTGTGTGTGTGTGTGTGTTCTGATTCGATTATAAACATTAACTCTATGCATATGTATGGGTTGACTTTACGTACGCCTCAATGGGTTGATATTACCAATGGCTAAACATTAACGTGATCTCTCGTAGGGCGGAGGCTATAAGTAACGCGGTTAAGGCTAGGCTTAGAGTTGGGTATGTTGGGGTGGCATTAGCTTTCCTTTCCTTTGTTCCTCCTCCTTCGTTGACACATCCACATCCTTCACTCCATGCCACTCATGCTTCAGCTTCAGCTTCTTTTGGCTTTCATACAATCGTGTTCATCACCTTCTGCCTCACATCTTGAGTTTTCAGTTTCATTATCATTTCTCACCCACACCCACACATCAGCTGCTGTACTCTTAACATTATTGTCAACTAATCTTCATCTAATACTCGAAAGCAAACGGCCAGTGAGTGACGATGAACACGCTGCACAAGCTAAACGGGTTGGATGGGGGTTATATAGCGGTCAGACGGGCGAACATGAAATTACACATATCAGTATGTATATATATATATATATATGTATATCTAGATGGGTAGTATATATTGTATATGGGGCAGATATATCTATATATATTTTGTATGTATATAACAAAGAACGATTTGGGTAAACCATGCACACGAGGAATATCTACAGAAAGCCATCGGCCGCTTCTCTGCGCTTAGTTGGAGTCCGTGTCCGAGTCGCTGGGAGGGACCGGAGAGGCGACCGGCTTGGTGGCCACCTCCTTGGCGGTCTCCTCCTTGATGGGACGCGTTGCCGCCAAATACGCGTTCGTGGACTCGCCGTGCGTGGTCTCGATGCCAACCCTGCAAAAAAGAGACAACGAATTTAAGTTCCCCCCGATCCTCAAGGAATTACTTGCTTTGTGCCTGATACTCACTTGTACTCGTGTCGTGCCAAATAGCGGACATACTTCTCGGGTGGCTCATCGGCGTCCGAGTCCTGGACACTAACCGAGCGCACGGTGGTATGCGAGACCTGCGTGGCGGGCATTGTGAACTCCACGAATGCGTATGGCGCCAGTTCACTGGGTATCTGATCGTACGAGGTCAGTGCCATGCGGCACACCAATTGATGCGTGGTGTACGCTCCTAAGGAAAAGCAGAAATTATATCGGGAAATGGGAAGGCAAGCTGCTGCGGCCTTACCCTGACCCTCCTTGGGCAAACGTGGACACCGCCAGACAATGGCCCGATGGTGATGCTCGTACTTGGCCTGGCCCGATGTCACCTCAATTAGCGATTCCTGCAGCGTATCGACAGCGCCGAGTATGCGTTCAATTCCCTTGATCTTGCCCGTCCGTCGATGGGCCGACTTCACCGATCCATACCTGTTCCACCCACCCCAGTAAGATTTTCGAGTTATTCACCGAGCGACGAAGTGAGGGGACATGAGGGGACAGACACCCACCTGAAATGCTTCTCCACGCGAAACAGATAGATCCAGCACTCGGGTATGGGGAAGCGCACCGAGACATCTTCGCAGGGTATCTGGCCGAGTTTGCGGGAGGTGAAACCTGGCACCAGAATGTCAGCACGCAGCTCCACCTTGTTGCCGGTGACGCACCAGGTGGCCTTCAGCTGGAGCGGAAGTTCGCGATTCTTTGGCGGACGCACCCGGAAGCGCAGCAGTTCAATGTAATTGGCATCCGGCGGCTGGAATCTAAGGGGAATCGAAATTCGTTTAGCTTTGTTCTTACTTTCTATTTGCTTTCCTTTGGCCCTAAAATTTACTCACTTAATGGTGCGCGTTCGCTCGTACTCCTGCTGATTGACAACGCTGTGAAACTCGACCGCCTCGAGGCGAATCCACTCCTCGGTGGCCACGGGTATGATGTCGTGACGGCCGACAACCTCCTTGCCCTGGCGCCACATATCGTTGACGCCCAGCTCTATAGTTGGCATGCCGGTGAGGAAGGCCAGGAAGAAGAGGCGCACGCGGGCAATCTGTTTGAGGATCTTGCCCTCGCTGTCCTGCTCGACGGTGATCTCGTCGACGGCCGTCACCTGCACCTCCTCCATCTTGTAGGTGAGCGCGCGCTCGCGCAGTGCCGGCAGCTTGAAGAGTGCCTCCTCGATGCACACGGAGAACTGCTTCATGTCCTCGTAGGTCATCGATCCGATCTTGAACAGCTGCGACGACTGCGGCGCATGCTCGACGGGCAGCCCCAGCTTCTTCAGATCACTGCCGAACTCCTTCACGCCCTCGTAGTCCCCAGCGATGGCGTACTGTGCGAATTTGGTCAGCTTGTTCGTGATGCGCTCCGCCTTGGTCACCTGGCCGGGCCGGACGCCGGGCCGTTCCTTGTAGAAGATGTACTGCAGCTTCATGGTGAAGATCTTGCCAAACTGATCGTACTGCTGGGCGCCGATCTCCGAGACCGAGTAGGAGGGCTGCAGCGGCAGCTCCTGGAATGGCTGCTTGTCGCCGGGCTGGTTCAGCAGCTGCACCACCGGCACATCGTTCTGCACCACCAGACGCACAAAGATCTTCTTCCAGAAGCGCTGGCCTGTGATTTTCTTTTTGTTCGGCTGCCGCAGCTGCATCTCCCAGCCGGGACCGACGTAGTGCAGGCGCGGGAACTCCTCCAGCGGCTGGGACACATCCTCGTCGTACAGCGGCGTCTGTGGCGTGTCCTGGGAGTCTGTGCGCTTAATGCCCGCCTCGCCCGACTCTGCGGCAGCTGCCGCTGCTGGTGGAGCTGGAAAGCCGGTCACATCCTCAAAGGGATTGACTGTCGCCGGCGGTGATGATGATTGGCTGGCCGACTGCACGGCCGACCTGGCTGGCGGTGGCGGTGGTGCCAGCTGCGGGGCCACTCCGCCAGTGCCCTCCGCCTTGGGGCGGATCACCACGCTAAATTCCTTGTCCACCGACTCCACGGACTCGGCCCGCACGGGCGCTCGCATCGCATAGAAGTCATCGTCCTCGTTCCCAAAACCATCGTCCGCCGAGGTGGCATCGCCAAAGGCATTGCCCGCTGAAATGGTGGCCGATCCAAAGGCGCTGTCGCCCCAAGCTGAAAATGGTCAAGGGAATCGGTTAGGTTAGCTGGATCTGTCGAGGCGGTGAATCCCTCTTGGACTTACCATCTCCTCCCGTGGGCGTTATGGCCCCAGAGCCACCGAAGCCGTCCAGTATGCTGATGTTGTCCTTCTTCACGGAGTCAAACTTGGCCGAGAAGGCGTCAAACTCATCCGGCTCGACGGCAAAGATGTTGGCCCCATAGCTGGGTGCCTGCTGCACGGACGGCTCCACCGTCGGCTCCACCTCGGGGTCTGGATCGTCGTCCACGGCAAATATGTTGCCCACCACGGCAGCGGGCACGAAGCTCGGCTCGTCCTCCTCCTCGGGACTGGCGAAGGGATTGGCTGAGAGCTGACCGCTGGCCAGGCCACCGCTGCCCAATGGAAAGTCCAGGCCCGTGTCCATCTGCTCGGGCTCGTCGCTGGCCAGCTCCATGGCGGTGGTGTTAAACGCTGGCTGAGACTCTGTGGGCGGTGACTCGACAGGCGCGTGTGATGGTTCCGCCTCTGCCTCTGGCTGCGACACGACTGCCTCGGCCTCTGGTTCTTCATTCTCTGTTGGAGCTGCCGCTGCTGCTGGTGTTGGCTCTGGTTCTGGCTCATCCTCGTCGTCGGAGCGTGGCAGATCCTCCACCGTGGTGATCTCAATGTCCGGCGTGGGTGCTCTCTGTCGGCCCGTGGTGTCCTGTGGCGCCGCCATGTGGGCCAGGGTCGCCGCCAGGGTCGCCGCCTGAGGCTGGCAGGTGATGTCATGGGTGCTCTCGTCCGGTCGCGTCAGCACAGACGTGAAGATGGGCTCATCCTTGTCCTCCCCATCGTCCTCATCGTCACCATTGCTGCCGCCATTGTTGTCCGCATCGCGTTCCGTCTCGGAATTGGCCAGCTGGGGGGCCTGGGGCAGATCGTCGTGCAGCAGATCGGGCTTGGCCACGGGCTGTGGCTGCGCCTCAAACAGGCTGAGGATGTCCTCCTTGCTCTTGGGTGGCGGTGGCTTGGCCGGCTTGCCGCTGGTCGTCCCGAACATGTCCAGCAAATCCTCCGAGTCCGCTGGCGCTGTGGCTGACGGAGGTGGCGGACGTTGCGGCGGTGGTGCCGGCTGCTGTTGCCCATGCTGCACCATGTGCGCCGGTGGCGTTGGCCTGGGCGGCACTGGCCGTGGCGGCGGGGGACGCGGCGGCTGCTGCTTGGCCGGCGAGGGCATGGGCGTGGCCCCCTGCAGGCTGGGCACAGCCGTGGGCACCGCAAAGGGATTGTCATGCTGGCTGGCAGGGGGAGCAGGAACGGGTGGAGGCACAGCAGCAGCCGCAACTGGCGCAGGAGCCGGAGCAGGAGCTGGAGCAGCATCTGTTACTGGAGCAGGAGTGGGCCCAGTGACTCCGCCAATGAGATCGAGATCCATTATTTGATTATTGGAGCCACTGTCGGAGACGTCCAGCAGATCGGCGAGGCCCGAGTCCGGTGTGGGACTGGGCGAGTGAAGGTCGCGCATGGAGACGGGGCTGGGCGATCGGGTGGCGGGTATGCGACCCAGCAGCTCCGAGGAGGTCTCGTCCAGCTGGCTGGACACCGTGCTGATCAGATCCTGTGTGCTCTGCGGCGGCTGGGGTCGTGGCGGCGGCGGTGGCTGTCTCTTGCCGCCGTCGTCATCCTCCTCGCCAGCGGCCGACTTGAGGCTGAGGGCATCGTCCTCTGCCTCTATGGTGGTGCCAAAGAAGCTCATCGCCGGATCAATGTCATTGATCGGTGGCTCTGGCTCCGGCTCCAGATCATCGCCGCCAAAGGCAAACGGATTCGAGGCGGCGGCTGAGGCCACTGAGGCGGAGCTGTTGGCTGCCTCACCGAATGGATTCGACTCTGACTCGCCTGCCTCTGGCTCTGACTGCATTAGGAAGGGATTGGCGGCCATGTCGCCGCCATCCAGATCGTCGTCCATGAGGAACGGATTGGCCATTTTCGGTTCGGGTTTTTTGGTTTTGTTTCTTCTGGTTTTGGTTTTCGGTTTTTTTGTTTTTCGGTTTGCTTATTCGCAGCTTAGCGCTCGATTAGTTCGCTTTCGAGCAGCTTAATTTCCGTCTCGCCGGGCGCTAGATTCTCCGCTATGGAGGTGTCAAAAGGATCGATGTCCTGCGGCCGCACTGGCGGCGGTGGGCGCGATGGCAGCGAGGGCGTGAGCACCTTGTCGCCGAGTCCCAGATCCTGGGCGTCGCTCTGCGCGTCAATGGCCAGCTCCTGGGCGCTTCTCTGTGGCAGCAGCTCGTTCTCGAGCAGCTTCAGCTCCGTCTGTCCCGGCTGTAGATTGGCGGCAATTGACGTGTCAAATGGATCGACGTCCTCCTCGTCCGAATCTTGGCCCTGGGCGTTGCGGGCGCCGCCGGCGTTCGGCAGCTGTCTGCGCTCCTGTGCGGGTGTCAGCACCTTAATGTCGATGTTCTCCTCGACGGCGAGCAGCACCTCGGCGGGCACGGGCGTGGGCGGGGCACGTGGATCAAAGTCCGGATCGGAGAGGCTGTGTCGCAGCGTGGGCGTTGGCTCGGCGATTAGATCCGCCTCGATGTGCTTCAGCTCGATGTCACTGAGCTTGGCCTCCGGCACATAGGAGGTGTCGAAGGGATCCTCCGACTCTGGTATGCCCTCGGCAATCGATTGGTTGCCGCTTGCAGGTCCAGCGGCTGAGGGTGCGTAGTACGGCGTCAGAGGCTTCTTGTTGGCCCCAACCTCATTACCGGCACCGAGTAGATCCGGTCCTGGCACCAGGAAACCCACACTCTTCGCCTGGATGTTCAGGCTCAGCGAGGACTTGCGTCGGGCGGCGTCAAACTCCGGAGTGATGTGGGATGGCGACGGTGGCACCGGTGGCCTTGGCCTTTGCGGTGGCTGTGGCTTCGGTGGCGGCGGCGGCTTCTCCTCTGCCTGTCCTGCCCGCGGATCAAAGTCCGGATCGCTCAGCGAGTGCCTGAGTCCTCCACTCGTCTCGTTTGTGAGCAGTTCCCGCTCCAGAAAGCGCAGCTCTGTGGCCTTCGGCTGCACAATGGCACTGACCGCTGAAGTATCGAATGGATCAAAGTCCTCCGGCTCTTGGTCGATGCTAAGAGTGGGCGCCAATGGCGCTGGCACTACCTTGCTAAGATCGGTGGCACTACCGGCCAAAAGATCGCGTCCCGGCGCCGCCAACAATGAGGATCCTCCTCCTCCAGTGGTCTCCTCCTCGGCGCGCGGATCAAAGTCGTCGTCCTCCTCGAGTACGGTGGTCTTCTTGATCACCTGCTCTGCGTAGTTAGTGTTGAACGGATCGTCGTCAAGGTTCGGCTCCTCCTCGTCGTCACTGACGTAGATGGCACCAGGTACAATGTGTGGTCCAGTGGCAGGCCTGGCCGGTGGCGGCGGGCGCTTTGGTTTTCCTGTAAATGCAAGCCACAATTAACAAGGCATTTCCATAACAATTTGAAAGGAAAATGTGGGAAGGCAGAAAGTGGGAATCGTTCCCAGCTATGTATCTATGTGATTCGTGCAGAGAACTGTCCTTTAGATAATCCCAATCTAGTTGTCTGTCTGTTGCCCTCAAAGATCAGCGCATAAACAAATGTAGAAACAAAGATCCAACATTTAGAATGAGTATCCCAAAATAAATGAACTTTCTTCAGCATAGAAATCGAATAAGAACCAAAAGTACATTCAATCATTTTAGAATATTAAAAATGCTCTAAGTATAAATACAAGTTTGTTTTTTGGAATGGAATGTGGTAACAGGGATAACAGCCAGAGTGCAGCTTTTTCGAGCCCATAATTTATATAGATTCTTGATCCGTGCATGCAAAATATTTCAGACATTTTATGGCAGAATCTGTTTGCTCTTTGAACATGTTTCGACATACTTTTTCACACTTTAATATCCAGTTTAGTTTGAATTTAAACTTAAATTACTTTCTGTGTGTTCATGTTGATTTTTTTGTTGAGTGTGAGACAAGTGTGCTGAGTTTCAGCGTTCAGGGTTGAAGGGGTATATCCTCCAATGGATGATGGCTCACCTGATAGTGGCTCCTCGGACTCGGGCTCCGGCTCGAACTCGGCCCAGCTGGTCTCGGCAACGGCTTCGGTGAGTAGCGAGGCTGGCGGCAGGACAACCTGATTGACAATGGTGATGTCCTCCTTTTTGGTGAGCGACTCGGCGGCTAGTTCGGCAAACTCGTCGTCCTCCTCGTCCTTGAGGGCATCGAATTCGGCTAGATCCGGATTGAGGGAGCTCCCCTGTAGCTCTGCTAGCTCTGCGTCCTCGTCCTCTTCGTCGACTCGTTGCGGCTTGATCAGATGCAGATGGAGCGAGACACTCAAGTCAATGGGACCAGCCGATTCGGTGAGATCGTCGTCGACAAGATCGTCGAGCAGATTGTGCTGCGGCTCGGCGTTGGCGGCTGCGGCCAATAGATCCGCCTCGGGATCGGCTAGCTCAACGCTCTCGCTGAGCAATAGATTCTGGATGCCCTTGCGTAGCTTTCGCTTGGGATTGGCTAGGGCTAGGGCGTGGTCGCGGTCTACGCGTCCGGAGAGTACCTCGACGGCGGCACCGAGGCTGACGAGCTTCTTGTTGCCCTTGGCCTTGTCGGCGCCAACAATGACCTTCTCCGCGTAGGCGGTGTCGAACGGATCGGGCCCGTCGTCCGCCTGGAACACGGGCGAATCGGGTACAACGGCTAGTTGGAGCTCTCCGCTGGTGATGGCCTCGATGTAGTCGGTGGCAAAGATATCATCGACCTCGTCCTGCTGCTCGTCCTCCGAGTCTGAGAGCTCGACAACGGCCTCTGCTAGCTTGTCGCGCTGCGACTCGATTAACGCGAGGCGTTGGCGTTCCCTTTCCTGGCGCTCCGCCTCGAGACGGGCTGCCTCCTCCTCCTCCTGCTTCTTCTTTTCGGCCGCCGAGGGCAGGCGCTGGTAGAAGGACTCCTTCTTGATGCGATCGAGCTCGTCCTGGGTCTTGTGTAGGATGGTATCGACGCCCGATGTCAGCGCCTTAAACTTGGCCCATTCCTCGTCGCCTCCGCCTCCACTGGAACTCTGATGCTGATGCTGCTGATGGTGGTGGTGGTGGTGGTCGTCAGTTGAGGTTGTTGCACCACCGGATTCGGCTAGATGAGCGTCTCCGAGAGAGGATCTGTGGTATGTGGCGCCTGCGGCACCCTCGACGTCCGATGCGCCACCGTCCGATTCGCCAGCGTCCGACTTATTGGCCGCCGCCTCCTGCTTGGCCCTGAGCTCGCGCTTGTACTGCTCGAGCTCCTCTTCGGTGAAGAGTTCTTGGTCCTTTTTCGACTTCTTCTTTTTCTTTTTTAGGCCCTTTGGTAGCTTAAGCATTATCTAATTGCGGAGACATCGAGATCGGTCTGCAAATATGTACGAGAACTTACACTCCCACAACTGCTTTCGGGAGCGATAACACTGGGATGCTGACGCTAGAGGTTTGCTTCTACGTAGGAACTGGATGATGGACTGACTGGGTAGGTGGTAGTAGTGGTTGTGGTGGTTTTGGTGGTGGTGGTGGTGTTGGATTGGACACTGCGGGAGAGGGGGGATACTTATTATGTAAGCTACTCATCGACAAAGGCACATAAAAAATGTATGCAGGGTGCAGCTGCTGCATCTACACTCAGCATCGAGGCTACGCAGACAGTTAACTGATTGATGGATGAGGGATTGCTTGATTGATTGACACACTGCATTTACATTTACATTTTACATTTACATTTTACATACATATATGCATATGAAGTGGCGATTTTTCTACTGGAGTCACTAGTTAAACCCTCAAGCCCGTCTCCCGCACTCACCGCCGCACCAAATGTCCACTGAAGGCTATACGGAGTTCTGGGCCACTCGCAAAAATCTACATTCGATTCTTGGTATTACCTATTCTGGGGAAAATCCATTAGATATTTCCTATGAAATCTGTGTAGCTCTACTCTACAGGAGATTGATGTTCCCTGTGCTTCCTGTACGTGAGGAGTGCGTGGTCCGTGTACCCCGTGGAAAAAATGTACACGCTCTCTCTCTCTATACTCTCTCTTTGAATGAGCTTCCTGGCGGGGCTCTGTGTCTCTGTGAATGTGGTGTACCTACACACGAGCTTCGGCCAAACCGGGCGAGCTTTTCCACCACAGAGGCCACAACTCAACACAAAAGTCAAAGCTCAACACACACTGGCAGGCAATAGATTTCGCCCACACTGCACTTAATGGTTGGTTGAGTGACTGTTGACGGGCACTTTGCCAGCGTCAGAGCAATTATCCATTATTGGCGAGCAATCATTGGGGGTCATCGATAATTGGCATGCAATTGGTTGAATATTTCAAGATCAGACAGGGAGCGAGGGAGCGAGGGAGCGAGGGTAGGGAATGGTATTCCCTTTTCAAGGATTATGTGTATGTGCTCACAGAGTGAAGCAGGACAGCACGCTGCTCTACGAATGGGGGGCAGTAGTGTCTCCAACATCTCTTTTGTTGTTCTTTTTGGCTGGAAAAATCGATGATATAGAGACGCACTTTAGGGCATAGAGAAAAGGAGACAGACAGAACGAACGAACGAGCGAGCGAGAGTGAAAAAGAGAGTACGTTCCCACGCACAAACATCCATCATAGAGCGTATCTCAAATAGGAATATATAATATATACATTTCTCTTATATTTGTACTACACTCGCACTACACGAGTTTTTTCCTAATCAAATTTTCTGCACACTTTCCCCGACACACTTTTCTCACAGTCAAAATGAACATTAAAAAAAATATGACACACACCTCGTTGTAGGACAATTTAATGGGTTTTCTTTTCTCTTTTTTATTTGTGTTGTTTGATTGCAACACTTTTGCATGATATTTGGTTGATTTTCGGTAGATTTTTCAGTTCGATTTTCTCTGAAAACTTATGCAACTTACGTCTCACTCTTGCGCACTTTATTGGGTGAAGGGGAGGCAAAAATGCAGGAAAAACAATTGTGTTCGTACGTTCTGTTTTTTATCCCCCTCGTGGCACACCACACCATACACACTTTTCTTGGGCCAAAATCAATGAAATTTCTCGAACTTCGTTTTTTTCTGGGTAAGGAATTGAGCGTTGAGCGTTGAGCGTGGGTTTTATTTTGGAAGTCCGTTGCTGGCTGGTTCTTATTTACTTTGGGGGTTTTTACTGCCGTAATATCTTCGATTTGTGTTACCTCTGATTTGAACTATCGGGAAATCTAGCACAGAATGAGTGAAATGTCACGAAATTCCATAGGAAGTGCTTTCAGAGCAACATCACCGTGCCACCTAACAGTATCCTTCAAAAAGCTGCGGCCGAAAAAAGCTTCCACGCAAAAGCGCCCACCGAAAGCGTGGCCACAGCTGTTGCGTGGCGGGGGAAGGGGTTGTGTGTCTCTCCCGCGGGAACTCTGTTGCTCTCCCGAAGAGCTCCAGTAGCTTCGACAAAGCTTCACCGAAGATGCTCGAAACAATAGCTGCTGCCGTACGTCAGCAACGTCACCGTTTGACACTTGACATTTGTAATGCACGACGCACCACGACGACCCACAAATATCGCAACGCATGCGCCCACCCAGTTGACCAGCCCTGGCTGAGCTTCTCCACAGCTGCCGTTAAATGTGGAAGGGCACTCGAAACGGTGACACTGATTCAGTGGCAAAATCCTTTTCGAATGTCTGAAAATCATCTTGAATGTCCAATAACGATGGTAAACGCACATTTATTTGAAGAACTTCAGCCTTGCAGCAGGATCGAAACTCTCAGAGCAAAAATCTCCACAAGATTCATGTTATAATTATCTAGAAATCGCAGCCAAAGAAAAGATTGCCATAACGCAACTCCACTATGTACAAGTTTTAATTTGAGAAAAGCAGTTCCTAACATTACTAAAGAGAAGACAAAAAGATTTACTTATACTCTAAGTCTTTTGGTTATAAAAACGGAAATGACAGGGCGACAATGGAGATGATGATGAAGACTAAAACTAAGCCCGCAAGACAGCAATACAATCCACAATACACCCCATTTAAAAGCCAACGCATAGTATGGGTTTGGTATGGGGTTTGGTGAGGGTTCTGCTGAAGGGAGATCCCATCCTACTGAAAACTTCCAACAGCAGACCAGTCTAAGAATCTGCCGAGCAGCAACCTTCAAACAGGTTAATTAACTTAAGTAAAAGAAACTGCAACAAACTGGAATATTTTTAGAGATTTTTCAAATATTTAGTATACAAAATTGAGCCAAGGAATACGTTAAAATAAACTTAAATATGTAATACTTAATATATTTGAACTAGTTGAATGAATAATTCCAGAGAAAATACTTTGAGAAATTTAAAGAGAGTTATCAGTTGTGGACTCTAAGCAAAAACTGCCTGACAAGAATATGTGAATAAAGTAAATAAAGGATGGCAGAATCAAAAATGTATATGGAGCTTATCAGTTCTTCATTAGCTAGAGAATCAACTTGAGAGTGTTTAAGAAAGACCTGAAACACAACACCATTTGTGGCAAACCCTATAACTAATACAAATGTGCCCTAATTGTAGACCATTCAATATATGCTCCCTCATGATGGATTTTAATTATAAGCTTGTCTAAAATATCAGAGAATAGCTCCAAAATGCCACCGCAGATTGTCCCTAGAACTACCAACTTGATTTGTTGTACAGATTATCCTTATTGACTAAGTTCAGCTCATTAGGAAAAAATATGAATGCGGTAAGGGTAAGGGTGCAGTTGGAAGTTGGTGTAAATAATGATGGATATAAATGACACTTACACAAAGGTGCCGTCTATTTATGTGTTGGTGACTTTATCGCCCCTCGAGGCTTATGATGGCGATAATGTGACGCTTTTTGGTGGATTCTAGTTGTAGTTGTAGTTTTGATTGTAGTTGTGAATGAGTCAGTGCAGCAATAGGCGGCGATAATGTCAAATCGTAGTCGAAGCCCCCTCCTCGCATATCTTATCTCTCTTTAGTGGTTTCCAGCGTTGACACACAAATAGTATTGACGAATGTTAGGTGGCCAGGAACAAAGGAAAAGGTTTTCCCATAACACATGCAAATAGTCGCATGTCTGCCATCCCGCTCTTACGCGTACGCTTGTCGCCTCGACCCGTCCTTTTCCTTCTCGTGCGCTAGCTCAGAACTGAATGTTTGTCTTGAGTCGGCAGCTGTTGAACCACCAGGACTCGATGTCGCCATACACCTGGGACCTGTGCCGCTGGGCGGACGAGTGCAGCCGGGCGCACAGGTCGCAGAAGGGGGAAACGTTGACCATGCGGTAATGCTCGCGCCACCAGAAGTAGCTAGTGTACTCCTCCATATCGTTGGCCACGAAACGCATGTGCTCCGCCAGCTCGAGGGCGCTGTCGAAGCGATTCGCATCGATGTAGGAGTGTGGTGGCAGGAAGCGCGTGTAGTCGGCCCCGCCAAACACCACGGGTATGATGTGGCGCTCCAGCACACCATAGAGCTTCTCCGTCACATAGTCCTCGCACAGCGAGTTCTCAAAGGCCAGATAGAACATGTAGTCGGTGTCCAGCATCTCATCGCAGTGAGAATCGCCGCGGGTACAGCTATAAGATGTAGCAGAGCGTTAAATAGACTCCACGGGATGGCCTGCCGACTCACCTGAGGGGCCCGCATTTGCCGTAGACATCCACCTCGATATGCTCCTGCAGCGCCGCAGTTAGGTTTTCGCGGCGGGACAGCGTCTTGCAGTGGGACACAAACCAGGCGGCCATTTTGGTCTTGCCCCGCCACAGCCTTGATGCGCTGGTGTCGTTCCCTTCGCCCTTCGTTGGCTGCTGACGCCAGTGGACCTGGGCACTTGGCGCCACCACAGCACCCGTTTCGATGTCCTGCAGCTGGCCGTAGGGCCACACCACATCCGAATCGAGGCGATTGGTCATGGTGAGGTTGTAGAATCCCCCCTCGTCGCTCAGCCTGTGCTTGGTCTCGCCCGCCGACTCCATCAGGGCAAACACATACGCCTGGTGAGGACTGCGCCGCGAGGGCACCGGCCGCAGAAAGGGGAACGACTCGGCCACGTGAAACACAATGGCGTCGTACATATCCAGGTTGGGCAGGAAGTCGTGGCTGTTGGTCACCTCGCACTGGTACACGGGACAGTGCAGTTCCTCGCGCAGCTCCTGCGGCCCCAGCGAGTCTGCGGGCAGGCCCCAGCGCGAGTCCCCGAAGAAGCTGCTCCACAGCAGAATGGAGCGCGTTCGCGAGCCTTTCGGGGGATTGCTCTCCAAGTACTCCTGCAGGATGTCATACTGATGGATCAGCGGCGAATGGTTAAGCTTGTGCAGCGCCAGCAGGCTGCCAAGGAGGAAAACCGCCAGCAGCAGCAGCAACAGCAGCAGGGCCGGGCGGCGACGCCCATTGACGAACCGACCCGAACGAACAGCCATTGACAATTGGCATTAGTTGGGTCTCCAGATAAAGCAACGCGTTAGCGTTCCTCCGCTTCTATTATCGGCGTTCCCCCGCCTTCTGCCTTCTGCCTTCCGCTGCCACGCCAGGGTGCGAGTTGCGAGGTGCGAGGGCGATAAGGTAAGTAGTATTGATTGTTAAGTTAAGGTTATTGAGTTAAGTGGAAAACTCACACGTCGGCCGGCAGGTAGGCGGGCAGCCCTTATCGAGCACATTTCGGCGTCTCCTTTCATTGAATGGGCATTAGACGATTAGAGGGCCAGCGAGTGCCAGAGATTGAGGGCAGCCTGCAGCACGCGGGTGAGCAGGGCGAACAGCGCCACGAATCCGTTGACAAGGAGCGTCCTCAGCAGAAGCAGCACTTGCCTCATGGTTCTCCCAGTGCTGCAGAACAAATGAAATTATCAAACGGATTGCAGCACCGAATCAGAATGGGAGGTGTGCAACCGCAACCCACCTGTGGAAATGGCCTCCAATCTTCCAAGTGTTTGCCTGGGAAAGCAAACACTTGCCCCAGCCGTCCCCTGGGACGTTGACAAGGCAAAGACTGTAGGCCCTCCATTGTGGAGCAATCTCTGCCAATTACTTTAATGGACAGAGCCACACCGCTTCAGTCCTGCAAGGAATTCAAATTAATGGTTGATTGTCATGAATGGGGCAAATTACACAATTTCTGCTCTACTTTGATTGCGCACTTACCGCGGGTCCTCGCGACAGTCCTCCCAGTGCTGCCACCACCATCATTAGCCTTCGAATGTGTCTATAATTAATTATGGATTAGTTCCCACCGCCGGCTGCCAATTGCGCGGGAGGCACTCCAAAAGGTAAACAAATGGGAATTGGAAATCTGTCGCTAGCGGGCGTGTGTGTTGCTCGTGTTTCGGTATATCGATATATATCGCACAAAACTAGCTATCTTTACGTCGCGAATCGATAATGGTCTTATGGCTAAATACCGGGTCGGTACGAAGGCACCCACGCATTGATACATTGGTAATCGTTTGGTGTGTGGTTGGTTTACCGAATTTACATTGTGGTTAGTTTTCCGTCCAGACCTAATACGCCGATAGGTTCCGCATATCGAAAAAAAATACCGATACAAATATTTTCGCAGTCCAAAAAAACTATTACCTACACAAATGCTATCAACAAAAAGTATATATCGATATCAATTCACCATCTTCATATTTACGGTATATTTTTAAAGTTGGAAGGTATATTTTGATATATTTTTGAGGGTCTAACAGTATACCTTATCTTCACACTGATTTCAACCTCCTCATGACAAATGACAAACTAAACTGAAAATTGGAAACGAAATTCACGAAAAGACAGGCCAACGAGTGGAAGAAAAATGAGCTCGCGTAGGAGCAGGAGCGGTCCCACCCTGAACTTCAAGGCGGTGCTGCTGGGCGAAGGTGAGTCTTGGAATCCGACACCTACACCTGCTCTAGGGCACTTCTTGGACATTCGATCCATGTTAATGCAACTACGATTCTTGCAGGCTGCGTCGGCAAGACGTCGCTGGTGCTACGCTACATGGAGGACAAGTTCAACCCACAGCACCTGAGTACGCTGCAGGCATCGTTCGTGACCAAGAAGGTGACGCTGCCGGACGAGCGGCGGGCGCAGCTGAACATCTGGGACACCGCCGGGCAAGAGCGCTTCCATGCGCTGGGCCCCATCTACTACCGGGGCTCGGACGGAGCGCTGCTGGTGTACGACATCACCGATCATGACTCCTTCCAGAAGGTCAAGTCGTGGGTGCGCGAACTGAAGCAGATGCGCGGCACCGAGATCTCCCTCATCATCGTGGGCAACAAGACTGACCTGGAGGAGCAGCGGGCCATCAGCTATGCGGATGCCTTCCATTACGCCCAGACGGTGGGCGCCCTGTACTTAGAGGCGTCCGCCAAGGAGAACGAGGGCGTGGCCGAGATCTTTGAGCTGCTCACGCATCTGATGCTGGAGCGGCTCAGCCAACGGGAGCGGGAGACTGAGCCCGCAAGCCCCTTGCGGCTGCAGGCCCTAGATGCGGACGATGCCGTCAGTGTGTCGGACGGAGAGCAGAGTGACGGCACTGGAACCGGTCAACGTTCCTGCTGCGGCATCTAGAAGCTGCAGGTTGCGGGGGTCCGGCTAGCCCAGCGCCGTCCATTGTGATAATATATAATGTACCAGTAGATCTGTAGCCGATGTTTGTCTGTATATACTATATAGATATATATATATACATATATATAATTACTTATATATGATTATGTTACCAAATTATGTTTTGTTTAAGTGGTCCCTGATGATCTTTATTTGTTGTAATCCCCCCATCCCCCTTTAACCCTCATCCCTAGACTAACCATTAAAAATTGTTCTGCTATGATTCCACGAAAACCTGTTTAGGATTTCGGAAATTAAATATCGCTCTTTGTGTGCGTCAAGCAATAAAATATCTTGTACTAGCACTTATCTGCATTATATTGGTGTGATAAGAAACCCCTCCCCACTCCAAAATCATCAGCTGCTGGTGAAATTTTGCTTGAATTGAAATCTTTATCAGGAGTGTGCTGCCAGCTGTGCACACTACTTCGCCCGCCACTGTAAGCAATCAGTGCAGCTGTCCAGCGCTCCAGCGCTGGTCGTTATATTTAAAAGAATAAAGATTTTAATGTGTAAAAAACGGATTTGCGATTGTAAATTAATATTAAATGCGAGTAGACCCCTAAATTTCATCAGAGTTGTATGTAAAAGCAGTGCAATAAGAATAAAAACTGAAATTTGTCGCGGTTTTTTATGGCTTTATTGGAAATACAATCCCTAAGCAAAATGGCAGTTCCGTTTCATTTCAACACAGTTGGCAGTCCTGGCTGAATATCCTCATTCGATTTCCACATTACGCAGGCTCCAAGGCCCAACAATGAGACGCACTGACACGCTTTTTGAAAAGGGTTCAGGCGGAGAACGGAAAACCCTTTCCACTCTCACTATATCTCACTGTCTCTCTTTCGCCTTTGTTTATTCTCTCTAATTCCCTTGATGTAAGCGAATTCCAGCACAGCCAGAGGGGCATCCCATGGCGAAACGCAGATGCGATTGGGGAGGGGAGGCTGCGCACTTCTGTTGTTACCGGTTCGGCTCGGTCCGGGTTCGTTCTTTTACTCTCGATGCATGCTCCACAAACGAGCCACAATTGAGGCATCACAAGTACAACTTTTCACACGCTCACAGGTCGCCCTCCCGCACCACAGAAACACGGCCAGAGCACAATGGGCTCGAGAGATGCGAATTCTATCGAAACTGTTGATACATACATAGGTGACTGAATTACATCATTGAAATATATCATATCAAGCTATACAGCAAGTAGTGGTAGGAGATAATTCCCAAAGGGATGACACACATTATCCAGGCTTCAAATGGGAGAACAAAGCACAAAGCCGGAACACGGTCAAGTGCGTAGTTATGAATCCCGGTTCAATTGTGTTTGACAACCACCGTTCGTTCCCCCACCGTACTGTGCACTGCATTTGCTTTGTTCTCTCATCCAGCAGCTGCGCTCTCGCGTCCCTGCTCTCACTCTCTCTCTCACGCTACACTCTCTTTGGCAACGTAGAGGCTGTGCTGTGGGTACTGTGGGGCCGTGGTGTTGTTGTCGTCGTCGTCGTCGTCTAATGGCGCAGCTTTGCCTTGGCACTGCCGCCCCGATCCGATGGCGTTTCATTCTAGAATTAAGTGCCGCCGCAGCAGGAGTCGACTACTGCGACAGGCGCTCTCCGTGTAAGTGTTTGAGTGGGTATATGTGTTGTGTGCCCCCGTAAAACCCGTATGTATGTGGCCCGGAACCGACACCGACACCGAAACCGACAGCGAAACAGAAACCATAACGGAAATCGAGTCTCGGCCCCAAGCAAATGAACCGAAGCGCAATGCAGTGCGAGGTGCAAGGTGCAGTGTAAAATAACCGAACAGAAGATCCAGGAAGAGGGAAAGCCGTCTAACGGTCGAACGGTCATAAAGTCCTTCATTTGTCTGAGCAGAACATAACAGATTGGTGTCCATCTAATGGTACAAAGGCGTACACACAAGTAACGGTATGCAGTAATTGGAGTTGTATTCATCCAGTTTCTGGGAGTGCGTGTGTCTGGCGTATTCCGGCAATGAGTGTATGTGTGTGTGTATGGCTTCTAACGGCATCCATCCGGGATGTACTGCCAGTCCAGAGATTCTTAAAAGTATCCATGCAGTACATATACATATGTACTTTCTAACGGTCCACAGTGCCTGTCCCTGTGCGTATTTTTTTGCTTGTTTTTTTTCTGTGCCGTGCCGGAAATGAGTCTCTTTAGTTTTTGTTGTATTGCCAAAATCCCTGCCCTACAAAATCATACGCAGTATCCGTGTATCCTCGTTTTTTTTTTTGAGGGGTTGCACACGCACACACAAACATACATTTACTCCGAGGCCCACACCGAATGCTATTCCGAAGTTCACTCCGAACAGACACAGACACAACAGAGGAGATTCCCAACAAACAAACCAACAAACAAACAAACAGACAACAGCAACAAACATAGAGAGAACGGGGAAATAGAGCAACAACTTTTCCAGTTAACCTTTTGGCCTGCTCCGCCTGCTTTGCGTTCCTGTTTCTGTTTCTGCCCCTCCAGTGTCCAACCAAATGAATCTCATTTAGATTTTTTTTAAACATGCCTGCTGTACTATGGCGGTGGTTGATCAAACTACGCACTTCCAGGCACACCATTTGTACAGAAGGCGCTGTTGCAGGACTTTGTGCAAATGTGTGTAGAATTTGTTGCGTAAAAAGTCAAATGCGCAGCGAAATGCAATGCCACGCCCCATTCCGCCCACGCTACAACCAAAGAGAGAGACAGAGAGTGTGCGAAGGAGTGTGAGAAAGATAGGATAGAGTGTGGGAATGGGTGTCATATTGGAAGCTGGAGTGAAAGCAGAATAAAAGCGGCAGATTTAGTGGAGCAGCAGTGCAAGCAGTGCAAGTGGCTAGAGTGTGAGTGGAAGCTGTTATACAAGTAGGGAAAATAGTGTAAAGTGCCAGTATTACTCGTAGAGTGAGTGGCAAATCGGGAAATGAATGCAAGCAGTGGTGGAAGGAAGCCGAAGCCGGGCTTTTCATTGGAACAGAGAGCAGAAGTGGGAGTGAGAGTGTGAGTGGAAGTGGACTTTGCAAGCCCTGGAGTGAGAGAGCGTGGATGCTCTCTCTCTCTCTCTATGGGTGGGTGTTTGTGTGTGCTTCCTGACACTCTTTCTTATGTTTGTGTTTGTGTGTGCATTCCAGGGATACACACAGAATGTGCGTGCAGTGAAATGGAGTGAAAAAGATTGACCAGAAAAACAGTTTAATAGCAAAAACAGAACTAAAACGAAAAGCAAAAGTTAAACATCAGAAAAAATCATCAACACTCGCTGCCAAAAGCCAACAGAGGCCGCCACCGATGTGAGCCGTGAGTGTGAAGGAATTTTGCCTGTACAACAATAATTAAAGAAAACACCAGGAAAGCCCACAGTCAAGCCAAGGAGAGAGTGTGAGAGAGAGAGAAAGATGGATAGCTCGCCGGATCTGTCGCTGAAGCTGCGACGTGGCTCCAGTGATTCGCGGGACAATTTCTACATGGACTTCGCCCAGGGCATCGATTCGGACATCGAGGAGGTGGACAACAATGCGACCACCACCACGGCAGCCAGCACAAGCACAAGCACGACAACCACGACAGCGGGGGATGCACCACTGCCACCGCCGCCCCTACCCACAATCTCACTCAGCGAGGAGGTGCTCATG